CTTCCACTAAAACCTTATTCAGAAAAAAGCTTTGGACCCTTGCTCACCTGTACAACATAAGATTGTTTATGCTCAAGGTAACAGACGGTAAGTAAATGATACGCAGTTCGGCATTTGGGTAAAATGTAAAAAAAATCTGACTTGCAAATGTTTTCATGCAAGTTATAATAACACATTAGATTAAGGCCTGCGAAGTGTTGCTTGTAAATGGATGTTTTTGAATAGTTTTTCTGTTACAAATGTACTTTATTAAACATTTACTTTACTAAATTCATCACTTTTTTCTCCAGAAATGAAAGGTAACACTGGTCAGATGGTCATTTTGTGGGTGAAGTAATCAGACAGACACACCTGAGAGAGGTCAGCAGAGTGAACCTCACATACTTGTGCAGAGCGCCGCGGGGGGTGTGTGTGTGTGTGTGTGAGGATGGGGGTCAAGGTGTGTGTGTGTGTGTGTGTGTGTGTGTGTGTGTGTGTGTGTGTGTGTGTGTGTGTGTGTGTGTGTGTGTGTGGGTGGGGGTCAAGGTGTGTGTGTGTGTGTGTGTGTGTGGCGCGAGGCTGCTTCACCACCACTAAAAAAACTAGGAATATAGGAGCTGCCTGGAGAGTTATACTGGGGATGCAGGTGTTAAAGGACAAGTGGGACACACACACACACACACACACACACACACACACACACACACACACACACACACACACACACACACACACACACACACACACACACACACACACTGGAGTAGACCCTCCAGCCTTCCTCACACACTCCCTTACAATGGGCTAATTACACACATATAAAGGTTTAAACTCAAAGGGCTTAGAGCAGTGGTGGAAAGTCACTAAGTTAATTTACTCAAGTAATATAATTAACGAGGTAGTTCAGGTAATTGCACTATTATTTCCTTCAACTTTATACTCCATCTTAACAGGACAACACAAGCATTACAACTGAAGACATTACTTAGCAGAATAAGAACAGTTCAAAGCTGTATATACAGTACATGATTAAGGCAAGAAAACCACTTAAAAATATAAATCTATCAGTGGTATACAAATAAGTGTACGAGGGAGGCGTGTGGCGCAGTGGGTTGTGCGTTGGTGTTAGGATCAGGGGAGCACAGGTTCAAACCCCACTGCAGTCAGCATGTCCCTGAGACACTTCACCCCAAAGTGCTCCTGTGGGGATTGCCCTCAATAGCATGCTTCAAACCGAAGTGACAAAAAATAAGAATAATTGACTCAATAATTCAAATGATGTTCTTTTATCCTATGTGAATGAACAGAAGGTGAATAGTTGGTGTTCTTCATGTGAACTAAAGGGTGAGTTGTTTCCTGCTGGACGGTGTTTTCCTGTAAGTCACCTTCATGATATCAGTGATTTCTTTTGAACTGTGCAGCAGCAGCAGCAGCAGCGGCGGCGAGTGACAGCCACCAATTATCAAAGTCAAATTATTATTCTGAAGAAAAGCCTGACATTGAATACTTCCCATGAACCACAGGGCTCTGGATAGTGTTGAATGAATTAAAGGATAAAAGGATAATTGAGCTCATCGTGTTTTAATGTTTAATCGAGTGGAAGCCGGGCTATCAAGCTTTAAAAAGACCTTTCATCAGATCTTATTCCACTATAATACAGAACACCATCTAATAACCACCTCAGATGCTCCTAAAAATTCCTTGCGTTTACAGCGTGTGTGTGGAGGCCTTTGGGAACACGGTAAATCAGCAGCTTGACATCCTCAACAGCCTTTAATAACGCTTTTAAAAGGTGGTGCAGTCTGTTTTTCCGTTCTTCTTTGTCTGAGATAAGTGCTGGGGTCGGCAGGGAGAGGAGACTTCAGAATAAAAGTCTGTTGATTACGATCTGACATATCTCCTACACATATCAGATGATTCAAACACACAATGCACCACGAGCTTAAAGGGTTAATGGCATGGTGTCACATTTAAGGTATTTCTAAGATAAATGCCCAAAGGAGGCAAATATTACAAACGTTTTTTCCTAATGATCAACTTCAAGTAATTTGCTTAATAATCTTATGGCTTTCAAATCCAGAATTTGCATTAATTCAACTTAACGTTAGCCCCGATTCTTACATTTCTTTTGCCTTACCCACAAAAGAAAACGACCTCATTAACAACCTAACATGTTGTCATGAAAAGTATTTCTTTGTAGAAACATTAAGAGTGTCATTTAGGCTTGTTAAACAAATTAAAAAACAATGGTTTGATTATTAAGGACAACCGTGTTGAAAGGCTTCGGATCATGACGATGCAGAAATGAGTCCCATATCCGGGAAATGAGTCAGCATTTCTGCACCTCCTTTAGTTGAGTCGTGGTGACGGGAAGTTGTGCAACCATGCTGTTCATTTCTTACATTAGTTTTTTGCATGTGCGTAATTTGAGAAGATTGTCTTTCTGAGCAGAACATGTCAGTGTCATAATGTGTTGTCCGCCACAGAGCTTATTTTCCACTGCAATCCAATGGAAAAATCCCAGTGAGCCGTGAGCTATCTCCAGGGCAAAAAAAATCATCTCTGTCAACACTGCAGGCAGAATGTCAAGCCAATCAAATCCTGTTCCACTTCTCATAAGACTTTTAAACAACGCTGTGGAAGTCACACAGTTGCATGAATGTTAATTGTACATTTGAAAAGATTGCATTACATAGCAGATATTTGAATATCTGATGAAACCAAAAGTCATGTTTGATTTTTTATTTTCACATATAGAGTCAAAGGTTTTTACAGAGGGGATCTGTTCGTATCACTCATAAATCAGAAGGTACTGTCAACAGTCAGTGATGAATACAATGCTCTATAAATCAGGCTGTTGATGACGTGTGAACAAAGCCCTCTGACTAACCTTCAGAATATAGATAGGAATTCAACTAAACAGCAGAGTAGTAGAAAAAACACATTTTGAGAAACCATGCCTTGCTATGCTTTGTAAAGTCCATCCATTTTGTACACACTAAGAACACTAACACTAACACTAAAGGTGAATAGCGTACAATAGATATCACCATGAACCTCGTTAGTCATACATTACATTAACACAATAATATTTTGTATTACAAGTTTTCTTAGAAGCTATGTTTAGAAAAGCATATAAGGCGTTATTACTTATAGGGATCTTAGGAGAAATCTACACACACACATCGTCAAAAGTGAGTGAAATAAACACCTTAATATGTATTTTGGATGTTTTCGTTCAACCAGGCTAAAAAAAGACTTGCAAAATAGCAGAAAAACTCAAAATGTTCCGATGCCTTTAAGGAGACCTCGTTGCTGTTCGGTGATAAAACAGACGACAGGAACCAGAGCAGACCCGGCCTGAGGGGGAATAACTCCCACTCTCTGGTGACCCTTAGCATGAGAGCATCGAGGGGAGCGTGATGAGTGACCACAGGGGAGGGAGGCATTAAAGGATCAACAGGGTGNTGAGGTGGGGCTGGGGTCTATCTACACCTTTTATACCTGCTGGGGGTGGGCAGAGTAGGTGATTGTATCTACATCAACACACCATTAAAGCAATTACGATGCTGGACTAAACAGCAGCGCCTGGCAGCGGCTCCTAGCAGGCTGGGGGAACCTGACACCCCCCCCCTCACACACACCCTGAGCCGGACACCACTTAAAGACCCCCTGCTCAACAACTTAAAAGACAGTGACCTGACACACCTGCTATCTGCAACCTGCAATCTGAGGATCCATCAGCGCGCCGCTGTGTGGATGCACGGCTCGGTTGGTGAAAAACACAAGGAGCGAGACACAAGAAGTCACGAAAGAAAAGTCGACTAAAGTCTCAGTAGAAATACAGAAAATCCTGAAACTAAAGCAATGTTTTTCACACTTTAAGACGAATAATATGAAGCTGAAAGGCCCAATTATTTCTGTGTTGCTAGGGCAAAACAATTCTTTCTGTGTTGCTAGGGCAAAACAATTCTTTCTGTGTTGCTAGGGCAAAACAATTCTTTCTGTGTTGCTAGGGCAAAATAATTCTTTCTGTGTTGCTAGGGCAAAATAATTCTTTCTGTGTTGCTAGGGCAAAATAATTCTTTCTGTGTTGCTAGGGCAAAACCATTCTTTCTGTGTTGCTAGGGCAAAATGATGGTTAAAAAGACAAACGTCCCAAAATCCCAATAATGTCGTGTCTTCTGATTGAGAAAAATAAGCTGAAAGTAACTTCTGTAAAAACTTCTTATCATTGAATTCACTGTTAAACATCCTCCAGGTGTTTACCGTGCAAACACAGAGCCATCAATCACGACGCTTGCACTTTCAGAGTGAAAAATGGGAATCAGATTTTTCTTCTCAAACTGAGAAACATTCCTCAATTTGATGAATAAAAAAAACGTCATTTGCGATTTGGTTTGTCTCTGAGGAACAAAAGAGTGTTTAATGTAAACTTCAGGCGCTAAGAGCAAAGGAAAACTCCCATCTTAATCCAACAAAGCACAAAAAGTGATCATAAAAAGTTTCTAATGACTTCGCAATAAGAAGCTTTCTTTCATTTACTTTTGGTATTCTTTATATTTTAATAGCTTCCCGTGAAAGGAGAAAAAAACTTGAAAGTGAAAAACCTCCAACGCCTTTTGGAAAATGTTCAGAAGCAACTTTTCAAATCACAGCAAAGCCAGACCGCAGCCATTTCACAAGAGAAAAAAGAAAATCTCCAGGTGTTTACATTCCCCTGCTCTCACACAGATGTGCACGCACACACACACACACACACACACACACACATGCAAAACCATGTTCCCCGCGTTTTCTAGTCTTTCATTAGTAGTCGTCACTCGTTTTAAATTTGCAAAATCTATAACAAATTCAAAATGGAATGCGTTGGTTACCCCAAAAGTATCCAGTGTCAAGTCATTTCTGATTATTTAGAGGACTGACATTAACTGTAGGCCCCAACATACAAGGCCTTCTTCTGTTTTGTGGTGTCTCACTGTCCCATGGAGCTCTGGGGATCCATCTACAGGAAGCCTTACCTCACTGTAGGCCGTGGTGGAGCCCGTCTCCAGGTACAACATGTTGGCGCTGAGGTTGAGCAGAGCTGCTGCTGTTTGCTCCACTGGCTCCAGGATTCCACAAATCTCTTTTCCTCACTCTGAAGGAGCGATGTGGACGGCGGATGCAAAGTGGACAGGCAGGAGCTTCTATAGGAATCTTCTGGGAGGTCATATATACCGGGAGGAGAGAGGGGGGAGGGCTCTACCTGTCCAACACCTGAGACCACACCCTTTCTGCAGCGTCTCCTTACGACACCTTTGAAGCTCCTTCAAGGTTTTAGCTGAGCAGAGGGTTACTATTCTTCTTGGTGGACGTGCTAAAAGGATAGCTGCAATAATACGCATTCATTTTCCTCACTTTCCCCAAACAGTAAACTCTATGGCAATCGAGAAAAAGCAGCAACTCTGGAGGATTTCTATCTATCGATCTTAATTGCACTGCCTTTGCTTCAATTCTATCTTATTTAACGTAAACCAATGTTCTGTGCATGCTTTGCTTTGTCCCACGATTTGTAAAAATGTATTCCCAAATGGATAGAAGTCAATGGAGTTGGATCAAAGTAATCCATGAGGCCGGCAGCAGGCAGCAGAGTGAGAGGTGCAGTCTGTGTCTGAGTTAACCTGCAGCAGCATTAGCTTAAGAAAAGCTCCTCTGCACCCCCTAAGCAATCCTCATGCAGACCCCCCCCCAGAGAACAACAATGTGACTCCTGTAGATTGCTTGTATCTATCAGAGATGACTGATGTAGATCTGTTTTGGAAACATGCATTGATTCTAGATAGTGTGCTCTGTAGAAATGACTTCATGAAGTGGAACGGGCTTCAGACATTTTCTTTCTATATTTAACTGGCTGCGTTTAGGCCTTCGTGGATCGTGCATGGGAATGCCCTAATTTACAACTATTTTTTTTTAAAGTGTCTAAATCTAGCAGAACCTTATTTTTGAACTGAAAACTATGCAAGCTAAAATTGGAAAAGGTTTTAAAACTCAATCAAAATATTTGGCTGAAAATGACGTTTTTCTTCTCATAGTTTATTTAGTGTGTGGGGACATTGGACTTGTGTTATTTATGTGTTATATTTTAGGGGAAAACATTGTGCCCGAAGACGAAAATATAGTACGATTAGAATATGGCTGTATCTCAGAAACAAAAAAGGAGCACCGTTGAGCGTTTGTAATTTATGAAAATGCAACACGTTGAATATCAACGTGGGCGGTGGTGGCGAAGTCGATAGGGACTTGGCTTGGCAACTGGAAGGTTACCAGTTCAAGTCCCGGCAAGACCAAGTGCTACCGAGGTGTCCCTGAGCAAGGCACCGTTCCCTACACTGCTCCCCGGGCGCCGTTCAAAATGGCAGCACACTGCTCCTACCACTAGGATGGGTCAAATGCAGAGAAACAATTTCCCCACGGGGATTAATAAAGTATATCAAAATCAAAAAAAAAAATCAAAGATGTGCTCACATATGCAGCGTAAAAGAAATACGTCACGTGCAGGACGTTTAACAGGAGTGCATTAGTGGTCAAGTGTTCACGATGCATATCATGTACAACCAGGTTTCGTTATTGCCTTGATATGTTGCCAAAAAAATGCTTCCAAATTGTTTTAGGTTTTTCATTATTTAAAAAAAATGTTGACTTTGAATGTTAAAGCTGAACTGAGATTTTTCCTTTTATCCAATAATGTCAAAGTTATTCTGCTAGTTATTTCCCCAAAGTATGTCAGGACCACACTTCAAAGCTTTAGACCAATCAGAACACATGTTATCATACTAAATATAATCTATGGACAGAAAAATAAATAACTTTGTTTTGTTTTGTGTCTACAATAATTAACTGTATTTGTCTGCTTTACAGAAAACATAACAACAATATTCAAATGATATTCAAATAAATACAGAACAAGATAAAATATCTAAAGTGATCCTACTGAAATTACCTTGAATTAAAGCTGACAAGAAATTAAAATAGGTTAAAATAAAGCAATTTAAAAAAGAAAATGTAAAATAAAAGCAAAACAGAATTTTTTTGCCAGTGAGAATCATGTCATGCTTTTCCGGTTATTACCCGTCGCCTTGTGTGTTATGAAGGTTTTTCTGCATGTAAACCCTCAAAGTACACCCTGTAGCGAGTAAAACTCTAACACAGAAAAGACCTGTCAGTGCTGCCCCAGAACGCCTCGTTGGACATTTCTCTTTTTCCATTTGTTTCTTCCGGGAACCAAGTGACGTAACCAATCCGTGGAGCTCCTCACACACACACACACACTCTCGCAGCGGCGAAACTATGGCGCGCTTACACTGTAGGTGCGCCGCGTTTGGGGGTGCGGGTGCTAGTGGAGCCTCGCAGATGGGGGTGCTGCAGCCCCCTCAGCACCTCCCCTTCCCGTGTCCATGGAGCTCACACTGTCCCCTCCTCACAGCAGCGAGCCCCGCAACGTCCCGCCAACACGGCACCCAGACCCCACGCTGCATTCTCATCTGTTTGTCATTACTGCTGTCATTTTGTGGTTGCTAACAAACGCCATGGTAACACATAATCACTGATGTTCAGCTGTAACGGTGGTGGACCAATCAGAACAGAGTGGGCGAGCTGACCAATCAGAGCACAGTGGGCTCATAGGGAGGGGGAGGGGGCAGGAGCTCCAACAAGCCGTGTAGGACAGAGAGTGAATACACATACTATACAGAGATGCTGTTTGAGAAACCAATGTGAGTTTGGAACATTGAACAATGTAAATCTATTCTAGTAGACCTCAACAATGGAATTATGATCAGTGGAAATGGCCATGACATGGGACCTTTAACCCAAATTAAAAGCCATATTAAAAAGATAGGTATTTTTTAATGTAACACTGCTCGCTGCTCTGCTAGATGACGAGGGAGGAGGACAGAAACCGCTTCTGTTTCTGCAGGGCGGGGGGCTAAAACTCCTGCCCTGCGGTCAGAATAATTTGAAAGCTGTCTGAAAAGTTAAGCACAACCACGATCTGCAGTCAGTGTCTCCAATCAGCAGCCACACCCTGCTCAGGTCGGACCCCCGGGGGCCGGCAGCCTGCAGGTCAGACCCTGACAAAAGGCAAATCAACAATTTAAAGAGCCACATTCAGAGCAGAGCAGAGCCAGCCCTTCAGAGCGGATAATTAGTTCAGCTAAACAAACGTACCTAATTATGGTAAAACAACACTGGCATCTGAAAGCAGGTTAGAGCACTGAGAGTAAGGCTGCAGTGAAACATACAAGAGGTGTATCTGTATCACACCGAGTATACTGGCTGTTTAACGACTGCAGAGGGATTGTAAATCAACACGTAGCTTAACAGTCTTTTTAAATGAACTGGGATTTCTTACATGCTTAAACTTAGAAGATAACAACGAACGAATAATAAAACAAACCTTAAAACTACAGTAGAAGTGCTTTTGGAGAATTTAAACCTCAACCAAGACCATGCCCTACCTCTCAATGCATTTTTAATTATGCATGTTTCCGTCCCGTTAAACTCATTTTTAGGTGTTTTTCCGTGGCCAATGCTTCATAGCTGCAATGGTGATGAGACCGATCTAATCCAATCAATTGACAGATATCTTCCATCTGTTACTTGGTCTCTGACAAAACCATCACTTCTGAGACAGTCCTATTTTAAATTTCAAATATACTGCAGATGTTTCTTTTGCATAAGTGTGTCATATTTTCATTACACTTTTTTTGCGTTTTTATGTTTATTGTACACATCTATTTTTTGTGTTTATATATGCAAAAATATACCAAAGCAAATTCCTTGTATGTAACACTTGACAATAAACCTGATTCTGACCAACTGTTTTCATGCAAAATGCCTTAAAGTGCAGTTTTCAGCCTTTCAAATATGGAGATTTGATGCTTTTTTAAATGTTATATTACATCTAAGTCAATATCTTTGGATTGTAAACTGACAAAACAACACATTTAGCAAACGCCTTGGACTTTCAGAAACTGGGATGTGTATGTTTTAATATTTTCTGACTGAAGGAAGGAATAAAGGAATTCTTTTTAGACAATCAGCATTTTTATCTATAATGAATTAATGATAAGTTGCAGCTCTACAGTATTCTACACTCTTTGACCAAGTTTAATGAAAATCAGCCCATAGTTTGTCCGTAATCCTGCAAACAAAACAAAAACCACCTTCTAGGTAGAGCAGAGAATATGCAGGAATCCTGAAGTCAGATGTAATTCCTTTTAAGACCTTTTTTAAGACCCTTTCCATACATTTTAAGACCTCATCTCCACTTGGAGTTCTAACCGGTTACCTTGGCGACACACTTTACCTCACATTGACTATATACAGTATTGATTGTCCTTCCTCCTTATCTTCCAACCATTTGGACGCAAACTTGCATTTCCCCATAACGATGTTGCTTAGCAACTGGCGTAAACGGAGCTTCGCGCGCTATCAAGCAGTGAGCGTGCGATGTCCTGTTCAGATGACGTCAAATCCAACGGGATATAAATAAACTACACAGAATCACACTACACACCTACGCAATGATTACATTCAGGCAGACTGTAGAATACAACCTCTTTGGACCATTTAGATACTTATTGAAAACAAGCTACAAAATGTAATACCTTGGAAAATGCCCTTTAATACTTTTTAATAGCCTTCATTTTCGCTAAATTGATTTATCAACTTTTAATACTTTTTAAGACCCCGCGGACACCCTGAAGAGGTAATGATGCTTATTTTTATTATTTTGTATTTATTTAGTTATTATTTATTTTTGTTCTGTCTTGTTAGTCTGCACAACACTCTCTTACATTTTGGCTACTTGGTCTGTTTTGGTTATAAAGTGGTTTAAATATTGTACGCCTTCAAGTGAAGATCAACTACTGTATGTCTGGCTTGTCAATTGATGTACAGAAGTAGAGACTAAGCTGAACACTAGTAGCTTTGAACTGTTGGACATTTGTAATTGTGGTTCCTATCAATGTACCAAATGTCTTTTCTATGTGTCTTCAATAAAAAAGTATTTGTGGCACAA